GGGAAGGGAGCGGGGGAGGGGGCACTTGCAGGCGGGCCCGTGGGGACAGCCATTCAGGGACAGGACACTGTAGTGAGTGGCAACTCGTCATGCCTAGCCTGTTTTAGGACCCCTAGCCTGAGCTCAGCACTGTCTTTGAGCCTATTGATTCTCTCAACACCCCTGAAAGGCCCCTGGCCCCATCAGAAGTCATTTTTGGGTTTGAAAACTGAGGCTTTGCCCAAGATGTCACAACTGGAGCTTAGTCACAGGCAGCCTAATGGGCCCCTAGGGCATGGGCACACAGCGTTTGTCTCTGAGACCTGGGGTTGTCACTGGGCTGGAGCTGATGCCCAGTGTGGGGTTTGGGCTCCCACCCTTGCATCTCCACTGCTGTGCTGCATACTGGGGGCTGGAGGCCTTGGGGGTTGGGAGATCAGACCTGGATAGAGTTTGGCCCTGAGTCTCCTGTGCTTGCAGGATGTCAATGGGCCCCCAAGGGAGCTGCGCCCTAGGCTCTGCCACCTACGAAAGGGCCCCCAGGGCTATGGGTTCAACCTGCACAGTGACAAGTCCCGGCCAGGACAGTACATCCGCTCTGTGGACCTGGGCTCACCTGCCGCCCACTCTGGCCTCCAAGCCCAGGACCGACTCATCGAGGTACTTGTCACTGAGGCTTCAGGGTGCTGGGTGCCTGGTGTTTATCTGTGCCCATGTCCCCATCTGCATGTCTGTGCCTGTATCACAGGTGTGTGTCTGGGCCCCAGATCCTCCCTGGGAGGAGGGGAGATCCTGGGAACCTGAGCTGGCATTCCTCTTGCTGCTGCGGCTGGTGACAACACTGATGAATATTTGATGCCACACCTGGCTGGGCAGCTCTGGGGGCTGATGGGGGCCTGCCTTCAGGCAGTGCTGACCCTATGCCACTGGTGGCAGGTGAATGGGCAGAATGTGGAGGGGCTGCGCCATGCAGAGGTCGTCGCCAGCATCAAGGCGCGGGAGGACGAAGCGCGGCTGCTGGTGGTGGACCCTGAAACGGATGAGTACTTCAAGCGGCTGCGGGTCACACCCACTGAGGAGCATGTGGAAGGTGGGCTACTGCCCTGGTAGCCTGGGGGTGGGGTGAAGCATGGGTGCTGGGCAGCCATTAACACACTGTCCCTACAGGTCCACTGCCATCACCAGTCACCAACGGGACCAGCCCTACCCAGGTGAGAGTGTGGGTGGAAGTTAACAGGATTGGTCCAGGAGACCGCAGGGGCACCTCTGGGGGTCCCCAGGCCTGTCAGATCTCTGTCTTTGTATATTTAAAGTTGCGACACCCAATCTGGCCCCATCACCCCCAGCTTTAATGCCCCCTATGGATCCTATCATTCATTGGTCAGCCATACCCCAGCCTCACAGGACAGGCAGGCACCTCCAGCCTCCGGGCTGCTGCCCTTGCTCTTCCCTTTGGCCAAAATGTCTGGTTACCTGGAGTTGTCCTCAGATCCTAGCTGTCTCCAGGTGACACTCATGTGGGTGATTCCTGCATCAAAACTGCTCCCTATAGTGAGCTGGCCAGGGCCAGGCTACCTGCCTGTTCACTGCTGTACCATCCTGCCTGGGCTGGTCCTAGAGCATAGCGGAGGCTCGGTGCCTGCTGCCAAATGGAGGAATAAATGCAGCTGCAGTGGGTGTATGTGTGTATATGTATGTACACCAACGGCTCCTGGGCGGGGCTTCTGAAGCTACAGCTTGCCCTTGGTTTCCCAGCTCAATGGTGGCTCAGCGTGTTCATCTCGAAGAGATCTGCCTGGCTTAGACAAGGACAATGAGGTAGCGAGTGTCTACCCACACACTGGGGGACCAAAGGCCTTTGGGGTGGGTGTCTGTGGAGCTGTCAACCTGGGCAGTAGGGCCACTGATTCCAAGAAGCCCTCCTGGGCTTGCTGCCCCAGCCCTACCAAGTGGCCTCTGGTGTGAGCTCCCTGGGAAGAGTCACCTGTCTAGGGGCTTGGGTCCAGGGCTCACTCTGGCCACCTGCCCACCCCCAGGATGGCAGCACCTGGAAGCGAGACCCCTTTCAGGAGAGTGGCCTCCACCTGAGCCCCACGGCAGCTGAGGCCAAGGAAAAGGCGAGAGCTACCCGGGTCAACAAGCGGGCACCACAGATGGACTGGAACCGAAAGCGTGAGATCTTCAGCAATTTCTGAGCCCCTCCCTGCCTGTTTGCTGGACCTGGGCCTTCTCCCCGCATGGACCTTGGGCCTCGCCCCTCGGGCCTAGAGCTTCCCAAACCTCAGTGGACTGGAGAGGGTGCATCTACCACCAGCCAGGAACCAGCCCGCGCCCCAGTGAGTCCACCTCCTGGCCCCCTACTGGTGGGTGCTAGGGGAGCATGGCAGCAAGACTGGGAGAGAGAGCCCCCGATATGTGAGACAGTGAGAGAGAGAGAGAGGAGAGGGAGAGGCAGCCGTGACCCAAGGGGCCGGGCCTTTGTTGCTCTGCCTGGGCCTGCTGACTTAAAGGAATTTGTGGTTTTGCTTTTTTTCAAAAAGAGCTCTAGTTCCACACATGTTTCCACTTAATACCAGAGTCCTCCCCCCCTCCTCCTAAGACACGCTCTCTAAATAATTGCAATAAAACAAACCTTTCTTGGCAAACCATTTCCTCACCACTCCCTCCCCCTCAGCAGCAGCTATCCTGGGTGGGAGTCTCAGAGACTTCCTGAGACAGAGTGAGGGGAAGGCCCAGGCTGTTTGTGGGAGCTTCAGGTGAGGCTGGGGAGGCCAGATGTGGCTGTAGAAGCTTCTCCTCAGCCATGCCTTTGCTTTCTCTGGTATTTGGGGGAAGGTCTTTAGGTCAGGCTCCCTGTGTCTCTGCCATACCAGGGATCTGGGGGCAGAGCCTGGGCTCTTCAAGGGGCCAGAGGATGGAGGCCCCTCTGCCCCTGAAGAGGGCAGCCTCTGGATAGGCCCTTTGTTCCTGTGCCGCAGCCCCCAGGCCTGGGAAGGGGGGCTGTGCGAGAGCCTCTCCCAGGAGGGGCTCCAGGCTTTAGGCTCAGCCACTGCCTGGAGCCCTCCCCCAGGAGACTCTACCAACTCTGCCCTGAACCCCACCAACATTGTCGTCTGCCCTGTAAGCCATAGCGCATGTGCGCCCTTGGAATAAACAGGCCTTCCTCATACCCTCGACTGTCTCTGTTCTTCCTGAGCCCTCAGTTGGGGAGGCTGTAGTCCAGGCTGGAAGGCAGCAGCCTGGCAGCTCCCTCCCCAGGTCTCAGCTGTTGGACACGGGGTCTCATTTCTAAGCCTCCCCTCCCTAAATCCCTCCACTGGGCTTCCAAACCCTGACTCCTCTCAGCTTATGCTCCCCCACCCTCTCAAGCCCACTAGGAGGCACATAAAAGTCAGGCCCCCAGCCTGGGCCTACGGGTGTTCCTTTGGAGGCCAGGTGGCTCTGTAAGCACTGGGGTATGGGGCCTCCTGGCAGAGGTCAGGCTCAGAGTGTACAAGTTGGTGGGGGTGAGTGTTTCCAGGGCCCCAGCCAGATGCTGAGGGAGGGAAAAGGCCCAGGCCTTCGGCATCCCCAGTGGACTTCCCGGCAGCTGGTTGCAGCTGGCTCCCACGATCCATCTCCTCCGTCATGGCTCCTGCACTCTTGCACACAACCCTCCCCCAGTACACAACTCAGATTGTCACGTCCCCATCCTGGCCTTCCAGGAAGCCCTGTTCCAGACACACGTGACAGGCAAATGCAAGCTTATGCACCTCCTAGGGGAAGAAGTCAGATCCCAACTATTGCAAACCCCCGAGCTTTATTATGAACAGCCTGCAGCTCCCCAGCAAAATCACAGAACAGATACAGCCTTCAGAGCCTGTGTGCAGCTGGGCACATGGCCTGGTTGAGGCAGGCCTGGCAGCGTGGACGGACAGGCAGACAGGTCTGCTGGCCGAAGCCCACCAAGAGTCCATTGATCTCGCTCCACAGGTTCCTGTGGGTAGGAATGGGTAAATTTGGAGGGAGGAAGGGAGAGAGAGGAGTCTTGCCCCATCCCCATCCTGCCTCAGCACCTGGGCAGCCACTCCTCCAGGGCTCTGCGGGTCTCCTCTGGGGACTTGGTCACCTTCTTGGTCCACTTGAGTCGGTTGGCGATTCTGTGCACATGTGTGTCCACTGCTGCTTGGAGATGGGGCAGGATAAACACGTGGCACACTCGCAGGCCCAGACCACCTGACCCTGCCCATGGCCCCACCCTGAGCCTAGGTTGGTGGGGAGTCTGAGTCTCCCTGGCTTCCAACCCTGCACAGTCCTGGCCACAGGCATGAGTGGGTCACCAGGCCACCCCTGCTCCTGGGCAGGGGCTGCAGCCAGTACCCAGAGGACTTGGGTCCTCCATTTGGGGTGCAAGGAGCAGTGCCTCCTGGCCCAGCCACTGGTTGTGGGTGCCAGGCTCAGTGGCAGTAACTCAGCCCAGCATGTAGAGCCAGCACCTGCCACTGCATTATCAGAGAGAGTGCAGAGCATGGCCAGGCCTGCTGCAGCTGTCATCCACCTGGACTGAAGTCCCTCCTCCTTTTGACGAGCATGGGCACCTGCTCACCAGGGTGTCCTTCTCCAGCTTGTCAAAGAGAAAGTCAGTCCCTGTGTCAGTTCCCTCCCCTACTGCTAAAAAGCCCAGGTAGAGGGGTCACTGAGCCTGTTTCCTCCTTTTTAACATGGATGTGACCAGGTGACTGTGCTCCATATCACCTAGAGGTCTAGCCTAGGGCCAAACTACACTTGTGGGCCAGTCCAGGAGGGCAACTGCTTCCCCTGCTTTGTGGCCAAAGCTCAGAGAGGCCAAGTGCCATGCCCAAGGTCACCCACCTGGTGGAGGGCAGAGCTGGGATAAGCTTTTTTACTGAGAGGGCTTCTCCTGGGGGAAGTCCCTGGGAAGTGAGGTCCACTCTCCCTAGGGTGTCCGGGCCCACAGACAACCAGAAAGGGTGACATACTGACACTCCTTGCCTGTATCTGCTATTTCCAAAGCCCTGTCCCCTGTCAGGGTCCTAGACGGGGGACCGTTTCCCCACAGACCTGCCAGACCACTTCCATGAAGGGGCAGCTAAGGACAGCCGCCCAGATAAGCTCAAGTATCTGCTGAGAGGCTGGCAGCTTCTGGAGCCCTAGTCGGGGAGGCTCTGCCCTCGCCCCCTCTGTGGCCCGGCCCTGGCTATCTGGGGCTGCTGCCCCTAGCTGCTCTCTGTCCCATAGGCAGTGCAGGAAAGGAGCCACCACCCGGGGGTGGCCAGCTTCACAGAAGATGGGGGGATTCTCACCCACCTCCTAGCCACCATACAGAAGTCCCAGAGAAGCACTAGGGTTGGGGGGGGTGGGCACATGGAAGTCATAGGTTAAGCCCTGGTTTCTGAGCTGGCTGGGCCTGCTACTGTGGTGGCCTCAGAAGCCCCAACTCTCTGGACAAAGCTTAGGAAGCAGCCACACCCTGACCCACAGTCTGTCTCTACAAGGAGGTCCTCCAATGCCAGGATGTAAAGCCTGGACCCAGAAAAGGGATTCCAGGAAGGGGCCTCCCCATCCCCAGCCCCTTCTTCCTCTCCCTGGGTTCCCCAACTTTCACCATGCCACCCCAATCTGCCTACACTCATTCCAGAGCCCCCTGCTTCTGGCCTTCTCTCCCACTTTATGGCTTTGCAGATGTTGTTCCGCCTGGAACACACTTCTCCTGGCCTGGCTATCCCTGCCTCACTGCTGCAGCTTTTGGCTGAGTTACCACCCCCTCAGGAAGCGTTCCCATCAGGGTTTCTATCCCACTGGTAAGGATTTGTGCGATGTCCCTCCCCAGGGCCTCTCACAGCACCCAGCACAAAACAGGTGCTCAGCAAATGAGAGCTCCTCCTATCTCCCATTAGTATCTGTCCCAGGGTGGGGCAGGCCTAGCTCAATGCTGGGAACACCTTTCTGACCCTTCAGGCTGAGTTGTGGATAAGGAGACCCGAGCTGGGGGTCACAGGATGTGGGGAACCCTGACAGCAGTCAGCAAGCTCGGAGCTTGCCCCTCCTTCCTCATGGGTGGGTGCATGCCACTCACCGATGCCTGACACAGTGCCCCAGGCCACAGCCATGGCTAAGTGTGCCATCTTGGGCCCAACACCTGGCAGTGCTACTAGCTCTGCCACAGAGGCTGGGATGTCTCCACCATAGCGCTGCTGCAGGATGGCACTGGTCTGTTTGATGTACTTCACCTTGTTCTGAAAAATTAGGGGGGGGCGGTCAGCCCTGGAAGTGGGGGGTGGAGCCCACCCTGCAAGGCCAAGGCTTGAGGGAGACCTACAGGTATAGAAAACTGCCTGTCACCTGCCCAGGACACACTCAGAGGCACCTGCTTGCTCCTGTTCCCCCAGGAGGTGGGAATGAGCTAAGGGCAGCAAGCAGCCTGAAGGAGGTCCAATGTAGGCCTGGACCCCTGCCTCCCACTTGTCTGGGCCAATGACACGTGTATGGGGTCTGGTTCACCACCACCTCCCAGACCCATCATTCCCTGCAGAGGCCAGACAGGCTAAGCAGGGCCAGCGATGCCAGAAGCTGGGCTCAGTAGCACCTGGGATTTCAGGAAGGAAGGCTGGAGCCTGGGACTCCCCCGCCAGCCACTAGGCCAGCCAGGCAGTTCCCATCCTGAGCCTGAGCAGACAGGGCTATTTAAAACCCATCTGACACACTGCAGCCCACGCCACTGCCAAGGGGAAGCAGCCACACCCACCTGACTGCCTTCAATAGTTCTGCCCACCCGCTACACTGTGCTTTGTGGCTTCTTGGGGCTCCAGAGGGGAGGGGGTGATGCACTCTAGGGAGGCCTGAAGTAAACAAAGGGAAGGTGGGTGGGCAGCCTCAGCAAGGAAGGGAAGGGCCAGGCAGCTGGGCGGGGAGTGGAGGAAGGAAGGGGTAGGCTGCAAACAGGAAAGGCCAAGGAGTTCCAGAGCTTGGCCTGGAGGCCCCACAGCACAGCCCACTATGGGCTTGTCAGAGGAGCGGGAGGCTCCAGTGAGAACTCACGTCCAGACCCCTATGGCCAGAAATGTCTGACCAGCCTCCTGCACCCCCACAAGTCCCCTCAGCCATGTGACGTCTTTCCCAGGCCACTGGCATCCCCGGCCCCGGTCACCATAGGCTAGGCTCACCCTCCAGAAGCCCACAGGGTAGATGAGTGTGCCCAGCGTGCTGTCATCTGTCTGTAGGATGCTGTCCACTGTCAGGCCCCGGGCCCGCAGCCTCTGCATGGCACCCGCTGTCACCTGGTCTTTGGTCTGGCTAGAGAGCATCAGCGACAACAGCACCTGGTACCTCTGCACCTGCTCCCAGTGACAGGGACCAGAATGGTGGCGGGTCTAGGGTGCTTACTGTGGGCCAGGCCCTAGCCAAGCCTTATACCCACCTAGGAATGTATAGGATGTCAGCCTCCCACCTACCCTGGCCAATTGAGGGTGGGGTGGGGTCTGGTCTGGGACTGCTTTTCATCTGCAACATGGGGACAACAACAGTACCTGCTTCACAGGATCATTGTGAAGCTTAAATGAATTGTCAGTGTACTGATGTGCACCTGGCATAATGTCACTGCTCAGCAGTCATTGGCTATTATGGTTATTGTTTTGTGAATGATGCTCCTATCCGTTTTACAGATAATCAAACTGAAGCTCAAAGAGGCATGTACCCAAGTCACCCATTGGCAGAGCTAGGTTTAGAATCTGGTTGGTTGAAGGACCAGACTCCGGGCCAATGAAATGCAAGGAACTCTTTTTCTCTCAGCAAACATTACTGAATGCCCCGATGTGCCAGCACTGTACTGGCAGAAGGCAGAGCATGAGGCCCCAAGCCACAGGTACCCTTGACCTGCTGAGTGGCCACAATGAAGCAGGCAATCCTGTCCAGTGCTCTGGGCCCCAGGTGTGCATCCTCTTGGGGTGCTACCTGCAGGGAGGGGGTGCCAGCCAAGACCATTCAGGTGTCAGGCTGTCTCCTACTGCAGGCTTGAGAGGAAATAAGCATCTGGTTCAGATGGGGCCCCTACCTACCTTTGGGGGTGCACTGGGGTCATAGCAGTGCTCAGTCCCCAGCTGGTCCACAGGTGCATCCTTCCCACTCCTCATGGTGCGGATGTTCGCCAGCTGCTGCTGCCAGTCCTGAGGCTCCCAGCTTGGCACCTTGAGCAGCTCGGTCCCCTCTCCTTTCTCATCATCTGACGCTTCGTAGGCCACACTCAGGCTTTGTGCTTTCCGCTGACGTCTCATAGGGCGATGGCTTTTCCTTCCTTCTGCAAAAAAATGCCACTGGGTCCCTTCAATGGGGGCCACAGGTGTGGGTATCACCCTACCTGCTATCTCACCCTTCATCATTCATTCGATAGGCATCCATCATCTACTACAGCAGGGGGTGCTCTGTTCTCTGTAGCATGCACTCCAGGGTAGGTCAGTTTTTGTGCCACTGCCCCCGTGACCAAGTCTGAGTTAGCACATGAGGACTCTAGTAATAGCCTTGGCTGGTGCCCCCCAATCTAGTCTCCACACTGTCACAGAGAACTAAGACCCGAATTGGATTGTGTCATTTCCTGTTTAAAACTCATTAGTTTTCCCTTGTACTCATGAACTCCCTGAGCCCCAGTTCCTCCTGCCATGCTTCTGTCCCAGCGGGTCTCCTTTTCTGGATTACTCCTGGGTTTCTTGGATGCCTATGGGAATCCCCCTTTGGCCAATCCTGCAGACATCCCAGCGGGACAAGTTGCAGGAGCCCTGTTCGTTTTCACTACTGTGTTAGGCACACAGTAAGTCCCTAATGACTACAGCATAGACAAAATGAAGACTATGCTCTTCCTGTTTTCTCTCTGAGGTACCTTCTAGCAGGGGGAGAGGACTTTTGGCTGGGGCTGTCCTGGGCACTCGGCCGAAGAGGAAAGCAACCATGAGAACAGGACTGGTCTGCCCCACAAATGGCACAAGTGGAATATCCCAGGGCAGGCTATTGGGACCGGAAGAACTTCCTTGTTCAGGACATGGTGGGGAGGTGTGAGCGCCTGGAATCCAGCCCCTGTGGACCCCTGCACCTGCGTCCCGGGAATAGGGCGCGAGGTGCGAACTCAGGTCTGCACGTGACACCGAAGAACTGGCTTGCTGCTGCCGGGTCCGCCTCATTGTGCGTCCGGGTCCCAGCCCGGGCGGCTCAGAGCCCTCGAGGGCCACCCAGGACCTCAGCTCCCAATCCCTTGCAGTCCCCTCCTCCCTCTTCTCCTCCCTTGCCCCAGCCCGGGCGCGGCGCTACCTGCAGCCGCCTCTCCCCTCCCGAGCGGCGCGGCCTCCTCCCCAATACCCCGCGGCCCGGCCCCAGGTTCCCGGCTCCAGCTGCGGGTCACCATCCTCATGCCAGAGGCTTTCATGCCGAACTCCAGCCGACAACACATCCCAGCGGCCCCGGCAGCCCCAGCGGCCCGCTCACGTGACTAGACGCTCGCCCAGCATTTTCGCCAAAGCTGAGGACTACGACTTCCAGCAAGCCCTGCGGCTGCCCTGCGCGTCCAGCTACCGGAAGTGCGGGTCGCGCTTCCCGTGTCAGCTCGGGGCCGGGGGTGTGCTCCTTTCTCCGCGCCGGGGTGGCCCGGCGCGCAGCCGGCGCAGGGGGTGAGTGGATTGTGGTGCCCCAACTTCTGGCTGTGGTCTATACAGTGGTTTGTCCTACCCCAGCGGAGTGTAAGGGAGGCAGCCGCGCCAAGCCTGCTCAGTGCTGAGGCGGCGGGGGCGGACCTCGGCCGCGCCCACCTTAGCCTGACCCTGGGGCTCCAAGCACTCTGGTTTTAAGTCATGACAGGTGCGAGGGAGTCCCTGCTACCGGCGTCCCTACGATAGTCCTTCACACGGGGGAGGAGAGAGATGGCAAACGCCGACCCTCAACCCCAGTTTCCATCCCTCATCCCATGCACTGAATCAGGGGCGGGAGGCCTGGCGTTTCCCAGATTTATTTCCGCCCAGGACAGCCGGGGGCGGTTGAATTCTCCCCCAGGGCTCTGGGAGAAAAGGTACCCACCAGAGACCTAGGGTTCCCAGCAGCTGGAGACCCGAAGGGGCAGGTGTGTGGAGTTGTTCCTGAAATCTCTGTGCTTGTTTCCTAGGCACAGAGGGCTCCTCTAGTGCAT